TCTCTTGTATATTTCGCCCGATGCTCTTTATCGTTAGATCATTCGACGATTTAAATATAATATTTGATTATTTAAATATAATATTTGAATCGAGAACACGCAGTAAAACAATCGAATGATAAAATCGAATAATTAACATAATGAAAAGTCTTGTGGTAGATTAACCATTTAATAAATAATTAATATATCTATATACTTCAAAATATTTTTATATAATTTAATATTTCACGAGTATATATATATATGGTTTAGTACTTACAATATTTTAGTTACAAATTAATAATAATTACACAATGATTAATTTTTGCCGTATATAGTGCGCTAATATTTACATGCCGCGATCTTGCTACCGCATGACGATAGGAAAGTAATAATTAGACACTCCGTCGAATTTCTTTTCTAAATGCGATTACAACGAGTATCGGGAAATAATTAGACATAATTAATATGATTAATGTGTGAATAATTAATTTTCATATATATTATAAATGATAGAGATGAATAAAATATTTTATTATGATTAAAGAACGAATGATTTTAATATATTATATTAATTAGAATAATCATAAAATATTATTTTAAAAATTTTATAAATAAATACATGAACTAAATACATGTACTCTGATATTGTTCAGGGAGATTCGATATATCGAGATTTGACAATAAATACATGTACTCTGATATGGAAAATTTTCAATGTATGAAAATAACGAATTAATAATTACAAACGTAAAGAAACATAAATATTTATTTCTTTATATTGTTTGTTAAATTGTATGTAAAATTAACAACAAAATATAAATATTTAAAAATAAACAATAAAAATCTTCAATGATTCTTAACACGTAAATATAAATCTTATTTTAAATCTAGATTTTGTAGGACTTGGTAACCTTACGTATTTACATATCTTTACGTATTTATCTGATGTCTGTTATTTCGACATTGTGAGTCTTCGATCGTCTCTTGAAGAGGTAAGATTACATTAGTATAAATATAACGATACATATAAGGATATTAACGCTACGCAGTAATAAAGTATTAATTACAATTTGCTAAATTTTATAAGGAACGGAATTGTATTAAAATTAGCATAACATTTCCAATATACAGAGTAAGTCGTCAAAAACAAAATATTATGTATATCTCTTTAAAGTTACATAAAAGATATATAGAATGCAATTTAAATACTACTAAAGTATGAACACCATGAGAATATCTTAATTTGTTTTAAATTATCTTTTCCAAAATTGTCGACATTTTATTGGCGTTCTTTTATTTCTTTTCTTTTTTATTTCTTTTTAATAAAACTTTATATATGTATATTGCATCTGACAAGAACGTTAATTTTATTTAATATAATATTGTTATGAAATATCTTTGAATTAAAAAATTTAAGATTAAACAAGAAACTTTTCAATATTTAATTTTGTATTTAATCTTTATATTTTCAAATGGATAATAGAAAATTTTATAATGACATACAATCATTAATTTGAAACGTTACTTTAATCTCTATTACTGATTCGCTTATACTCATTCAAACGAATAACGAACATACGATAAAGATTTATTTTCTCGTCGTTGAAAAAAATGCGCATAATATATATACATACGAAGAGATTCGAATTGTTGTACATATGTTTGTATATTGATTGTGTATATGTCTCAAGAGACATATCAAACAAGTTGAAAAAAATTTAAATCTTTGTTTGTTGGTCATTTGTTGTTAGTTGGCTAAAAACACAATTATTTAAGAAACAACAAACTATGAAAATAACATGTTGATAAAAGTACGTAGGTCGATTTATCACATTTTTCACAGGGATATTCATGATGGATGACATATTTAATTATTCGAAAAAACTAATTCTTCTAAGAAAGTTAGCACTTTATAGATTTGTTTACTGCAAATTCTATTGTCTAAATTTTATTTTATGTTTGTCTTTTTTTCAACAGAGAAAGATACTACAGATACCAAAATATTGATATGGCATTTCTAAAACTGTTATTTTATGGCGGTCTCATATTTATCACCGCGATAGCTTCTCTTGTCGATGAAAATCCGACAAGATCCTTGATTGCATTGAATTATCATTTTGATAATGTCGTGCCGGTGCATTACGATGTCAAGCTAATACCACATTTTAAAGAAGACCAAGAAAGAGATGAAATATTTGAATTGTATAAACCAGATATAGAAAAATATCAAGTAAAAGGTAGCATCGTCTTCTACGGCGAATTGAAAGTTGCTATCGATATTTTTCATCCAACTACAAAAATAAGATTAAGTTCATTGAAATCAATATACCATTTATACGGAGATTTAATGAAAAAGGATACTATGCTTAAATATTTAGTAGACAGTTTTAAATATGAAGCTGCAACACGAACTTGCGTTCTTCATTTCAATGTTGAGTTACCATGTGGAAGTTACATACTGAATATAAAATTTCTCAATGCAATTAATAACACAGAAAACATTATTATTCCTTTGAAGAATGTACTCCAAAATGAATCTGTACAATATGCGTGAGTAAATGCTAATATACGTTAGAATACTATTAGTATTGTTCTCAAATATAAATTTTTATCATTTGTAAGACATATTTATTTTTTTACCTTCTATTATCTCTCTTTTTTTTAATATTAAACTTTATAACTCACCTAAATCATTGTAATATTTTACATTTTTAATCAATTCTAGTTATTATTAAATGCAGAAATATGAGTAAATTAAAATATATATATATATATATATATATATTATTATTGGAAATTGAATAGTTTAGATACGATATTATTGAATTCATATTGTTTTGTGAGGTGTGTGCGTGGAATAAAATATAAAATATGTCATTATTTTTTATGCGCTTATAAAACATACGTACGCATGCATGCATGCACGGATAGAATGTAGAGTGTAGAGAATCAAAAAGATTTTGAAAGTTTTGTTATTGCAATTTGTGGCTTAAAATATGATTTTATTTATAATTATTTTTATCAATTATTGAATGGAACAATTGTGCCCTCACCATTGTAATGTACATTCTGTGTAATATACATATAATAGGCAATGCAAGAAGACTTATTAAATAAGATCTATGCAGCAAGCATTGTTTTTTTAAGCAGACATATGTACGTTTGTTTGTACTGTATGCTATTAGCGTACTGAATAATTTGTAGCCATGCATGCATTATCAGACGCGCGGTTTACGAAAGACAATGATTAAATAAATTTTATTTATTTAATCACTTATTTATTTTATTTTCCGCTTCGTTAAGTATTACAGAAAAAGATTATAATTATCCGATTCATTTTTTATCAAGAGATAATGTAATTGATGAGCACGAATTATGACACTTTATACTATATATATTCTATAGCCGCTACGTTAAATATGGTCTAATGCCATGATAATTAATAATTCATTGTTATCAAATCAAGTCAATATTATTAAAATGTCATAGGTTGTCGGATAAAACACATTTTCAAGCGATTGGAGCCCGACAATTATTTCCATGTTGGGACAAGCCGACAATAAAAGCCACTTTCAACATTTCTATAAAGTATCGTCGTGAATACAAAGTTTTTTCAAATATGCCAATACAAAAAGAAAAAATATGTAAACATGAAGAGTGTAAAACGGAAACAAATATGAAGTGGACATACTTTGACATTACTCCTGCAATATCCTCTTATATCGTAACGATTGTGATCACGCCAATAACTACCCTTGACATTGTTTGCACAAATTATATTATTGTATGGTATAGACCTGGACTGTACAAGCATATTGAATATGCTCAAATGGTTGCACACGAAATAATACAATTGAAAGGCAAATGGGGAAACTTGAAGATTCCAACAGTACAATTTGTCGCAATCTTTGGTTTGTTATACGAAAATCAGAACTGGGGACTAGTGTTAAATAGGTAATATAAAAATTAGAAAAAAATATTAATCCACAAATACAATTTTTGTAAGAATCAAAATTAGAAATACATAAAGTATAAGTTAAAATATAAGTGTTTTGAAAGTAGGATTATTATAATAAATAAATTAATATATTTTTAGGATTAGTTTTAAGTTGATTTTAATAGATAACATATATATTACATATACGAACATATCACATTTTGCAAAACAACATATGATTATATCATATCAATTGCGTTATCCGTTTAGATGACATTATTTTAGTTTCAAATCAAAAAAGTATATTAAAAATATTATTATTTGCACAAGTTTATGTTTAATACTAATTTGGCATGAAATGGTAAGAATTTCATTTTCAGAAAAAAAAACAGACAGGTTTTCAGAATTTTTAGCTTGCGCTTCAAATAATGTCATGAACAAATATTTAGAATTAATTATGTTCAAAGAAAATGAAGATTTGAGTAAAATAGGTATCAAAAGACGTATTAATAGCTTTCTTTTTATTATTGCAAAACATGCAAAACACTACAATGTGCTTTCAAATATATTAAGAAATTTCGATAAATTGAAACCAAGGTAATAACCAGAAATATTTGTTTCTTAAAAAACGCATGTTTTTATAATTACGAAAATTTGTTAGGTACAGGTATTAATTATATGTATATGCTATTTTGTTTTAATAGGAGTATAAATGGAATTGCAATATTTATTGTTATTGTTAATCATGTGTACTCTAAGAGACAATTAGACGAGGTAAATTTAAATAAATACAATTATAAGCTTTTTATTATTAAACTTATTTATATCTATATATGCATTATAGATATAGATATGCATTATACATATATATATAATGCAGCAGACTTTTTATAAAAACAATTTTTTGACAAAGAGTTCAGCTTCTTTATAAAACGCCTGATCTCTGTAGATCAACATTTAAAGGCTGAATTTATAGAAAGTTTGCAACACACACACATACATACACACACACGCACACACACGCACACACACGCACATACACGCACACACACGCATACATACGCACACACACGCATAAACATGCGCCATATATAAATTTTTTTAAATTTTTGTCATGCTAGAATAGAAATAATATTCCGTTAAATTTTTAAGAGACTAAATTAAATTACTATTTAACTTTGTTGACAATAAATGTCGAAATAATTTATTTTACATAGATCGGAGAAAATACGAGAAATATTATTGAGATAGAAGCGTACATAAATCATATTAAACATATATACAAGAAAAACAGAACTCGTTTTGACAAGGTAAGTTGATGAATTAATTCAAAAGTTATATGTACTTAATATATTAAGTTTTTATTATTAAACTTTATATCTTTGATATATGTCATATAAGTAGTACTTTTTAAAATTATGTTAGACTTTTAAGATGAGATAAAATTTAATGTCAAAATAATCTTTTTCAGGCAATTATTAATGCACATTTTCATGAGTATAAAGATCTTGTGGAACAATGGGTGTTGTATGCTGAACGCAAACTACAAATGCGTTTGTCTGAGATTGAGAGGCAGATAAGCTATCTTCATAATTTTTCACAATAAAAAAATATTAAATGTGAATAATTACAATTACAGCAAAAAATTTTAAGCAACTTAAATATATGTAGCTAAAAGAATTCAATTATGGTTGTTTATAATTTTATTTAAACTAAAAATAGAAAATTTAGGAAAAGTTTTTGTTTCAGTTTTATACTGCACATGTTAAATATACGTTATATATTTATTAATACTTATCTTTCTTATGTTTTAATGTGTGATGTTCTAATAATATTTAAATTTAAAATTATATGTGTAATTGAAACGTAGATTGAGACTTTCGAAGGAACAACGACTAGACGATAGTCCATGTTTTAATTAAACGTACTTAATACAATATTTGTCAAAACTTTTATTAAAAGCTAATTGTATAACGTGATATTTCACTTTTAAATTATTGAGCATTTTTTAAAATTTATATATATTTTCTTTCGCTATTTAATATATTCTGTGACTTAAAAATTTTAAAATGTTTTACAAAAATTAAATCTAAGTTTTATAATCATATTATTTTTAACATGACTAAAAAACGGATGATTTTAATACAATATATTAATTAGAATAATCATAAAATATTATTTTAAAAATATGTGATATACATAAATATATGAAAATACTCTAATATATGGAAAATTTTCAATGTATAAAAATAAGAAATAAATAATTATAAACGTAGGGAAACATAAATATTTATTTTTTTGTATTGCTTAGTAAATTGTATATGAAATTAACAACAAAATATAAATATTTAAAAATAATAAGACATAGGCTCAAATAATAACAATAAATATAAGCAAATAAAGAGGCAATATGCGCCACAAGTATCACGTTAAGAGATTTATTAACTGTGTGAAGGCAATTGACAAATATCAAATTAAAGCACCGTATGCACAGCTATCCATCAGAAACCGTGCCTCCTCTCTTATTAATAATCTTCCTTCTTAATCACCTTCTCAGGTCGGGGTAAATCTGATGTTAAATCAACTTTATCTTAAAACTAGAAAATTTTTAACTAATAATTCCAACCTTATTCTCACCAGGACTGATAAGAGAAATGTGACTGTGGCTCTAGATAAGAATGTCTATCTTGTTAACATGAACAGCACATTGAGTGATACTGAGACTTATGTTGTTCTTTCGAAAGATCCTAAGAAACTGATAACTTCTTTACGCGAACTATTAACTAGATGGAAGAACTCTAATCATATTTCATCCTCAACATACAAAACTCTTTATTGTAGTGACGGTAATCTCCCTAGAACATACGGACTGCCAAAAATACATAAACGTGACTGTCCTTATCGAATTATTGTTTCTTCGTTGAATAGCCCTTTATACCATCTTGCCTTCTTCCTTCATAAAATCATGTTGAAAAGTTTTCCTAAAGCACATAGCAATATTGTTAACAGCTTTTAATTGACTAAAAATCTGTCTAATATCATAGTAGCTGATGATTTCAAATTGTTATCTTTGGATGTGATCTCATTATTCACCAATATCCCTATTGACCTTGCCATTGAGAGTGTCGAGAAAAGAATAGATCTCATTTCTAACAATTGTTCTATTCCTGCATTGGAGTTTATTCTAGCGATTAAATTTGTTTTGAACTCTACGTTCTTTACGTTTAATGGAACAATTTATAAACAAACTTATGGCACGCCTATGGGTTCCCCATTATCTCCCATCATAGCTGACATAGTCCTTCAAGATTTGGAAGAAAATGCCCTTTCAACATTGACTTTCATTCCATCTTTCTACTTCAGATACGTTGATGATATCGCAATGACTGCACCATATTATCTTATGGATCACACGCTTAATGTTTTCAATTCTTTACATCCTAGAATTCAATTCACGTCGGAAATTGCCGACAGTGATAAATTGAACTTTTTAGATATCTCAATACTTCTAACTAACAACCGCTTAATAACTGACTGGTTCCATAAGCCTACCTTTTCGGGTCGATACCTCAATTTTCTTTCTCAACATCCGACATGCCAAAGAAGAGGTACCATTCAATTTTTAACCGTCTCAAATTTCTGATCTCTAGTAGGGGCCTTCCAATTGACGAGGAGAATGTCAACAAGAAGATTGTCTCCTATTTTAGAATCCCTTTCGTCCATACCATCTCGCATAAATTTAAAAACATCATAAAAGATCTTGACGTTAAGCTTTCTTACTATAGTCTTAATAAATTGTCATGTTTTATTAGGGTACATAAAGACGTCCTTCCCAGTGCATCGTGCACTAATATCATCTATATGATCAATTGTGCAGACTGTGATGCCTCTTATGTAGGTCAGACAGGCAGGAAACTACAGACGAGAGTCGGGGAACATCGCAACCACATATGTAGAAATACAACAGTTGCTTCGGTGATTATCGATCATAGATTAGAGTTTGACCATGATTTTGACTGGAACCATGTCCGGATTTTAGACAGTGAAAAATATCTAAACAAACGACTGATATCTGAGATGTTGTTCATAAGGAGACAAATTAATGGTCTGAATTTACAAACGGATACCGAGGGCTTGCACCAGACATATATCACTGCGTTGGATAAACTCCCCAATATTTAATGCATAAGATGATCTTTGTGATTATTTTCAAGACGCGTATATTTTGATTTCTTCCATCCCGATATAAATACATATTCGATCGTGTAACGAGTTGTTGTGTTTACTCTTATGTCACCGAGGGCCAATGACCTAGCACTGTATACACACAAGTTTAAAGTCTCGTGAAACATCTTAGAGATAACTTGGTCTTTAAAGTATCGTGGATAAATAATTGTTTCACGTCATATACTCTTTATTGTGATAGATCTATTGCATTTGTATGTAAGTTTTGCATTATTATTATTTACTCGTGAGCGCTCTTAACTCCTTATTGCACGCTCCTACAGGAATCTCGACTTTTCGGGTTTCGCATGTCAACATGCCGGCAAGCCTTGAAAACTTTTTACGATGTTAACTTCCTGGCCTACCATCCGGGGAGTTCTTCCTCTCGGGATGCTTGTTTGAGCGAATTCTTGCGTTTACAATCTAATTTTAATTGCTGACTGCGATATTTTTTATATATTTTTTTATGTATTCATGTATTTATTATTTTAATTGCGCTGAAGATGGCCACAAAAAAAAGGGCCGAAACGTTTGCCTTCTTATTATATTTTTATGTTGATTCGTATCACTTTTTACTTGCTTTAATTTGATATTTGTCAATTGCCTTCACACAATTAATAAATCTCTTAATGTGATACTTGTGGCTCATATTGCCTCTTTATTTGCTTATATTTATAAATATTTAAAATTAACAAATTAATAATAAAAATCTTCAACGATTTTTAACACATAAACATAAATCTTATTTTAAATTTAAATTTTGTAGGACGTGGCAACCTTATGTATTTATATATCTTTACGTATTTATTTGATGTCTGTTATTTCGACATTGTTAGTCCTCGATCATCTCTTGAAGCGGTAAGATTACATTAGTATAAATATAACGATACATATAAGAATATTAACGATTCGCAGTAATAAATTGTTAACTTCAACTAAGTCTTACAAGGAAAGGAATTGTATTAGAATTAGCATAACAATATTGATTGTGTATATGTCTGAAGAGACATATCAAACAAGTTGAATAAAATGTAAATCTTTGTTTGTTGGTTATTTGTTGTTAGTTGGCTAAAGACACAATTATCTAAGAAACAACAAACTTTGAAAATAACATGTTGATAAAAGTACTTAGGTCGATTTATCACATTTTTCACAGAGATATTTACGATGGATGACATATTTAATTATTCGAAAAAACTAATTTTTCTAAGAAAGTTAGCACTTTATAGATTTGTTTACTGCATATTCTATTGTCTAAATTTTATTTTATGTTTGTCTTTCTTTCAACAGGGAAAGTTATTACAGATACCACAATATTGATATGGCATTTCTAAGACTGTTATTTTATGGCGGTCTCATATTTATCACCGCGATAGCTTTTCCTATCGATGAAAATCCGAGAAGATCCTTGATTGGATTAAATTATCATTTTGATAATGTCGTGCCGGCACATTACGATGTCAAGCTAATAGCACATTTTAAAGAAGATCAAGAAAGAGATGAAATATTTGAATCGTATAAAACAGATATAGAAAAGTATCAAGTAAAAGGTAGCATCGTCTTCTACGGCGAATTGAAAGTTGCTATCAATATTTTTCATTCAACTAAAAAAATAAGATTAAGTTCAATGAAATCAATACACCATTTATACGGAGATTTAATGAAAAAGGATACTATGGTTGTTAAATATTTAGTAGACAGTTTTAAATATGAAGCTGCAACACGAACTTGCGTTCTTCATTTCAATGTTGAGTTACCATGTGGAAGTTACATACTGAATATAAAATTTCTCAATGCAATTAATAACACAGAAAACATTATAATTCCTTTGAAGAATGGACTCCAAAATGAATCTGTACAATATGCGTGAGTAAATGCTAAATGTTAGAATACTAGTAGTATTGTTCTCAAATATAAATTTTTATTATTTGTAAGATATGTTTACTCTTTTATCTTCTATTATTTCTCTGTTTCATAATCTTAAACTTTATAACATATCTCACTTAAGTATATCATTGTAACATTTTACACAATTTTTGATCAATTCTATTTATTATCAAAAACAAAAGTATTTAAATTAAAATATATATATTATTACCGAAAATTAAATGGTTTAGACACAATAGATTATATTTCATGTTGTTTTGTGACATGTGTGCGTAAAATAAAATATAAAATATATTATGATCAGTACTTTTATACGCGCATATAACACATACACATGCACGCACGCATGCACGCACGCGCACAAGAGTGAAGATAATAAATTTGTTACACAATTCACACATATAATATTATTTAATTAACTTTGATATTTTCAATGAAAAACTTTTGAAAGTCTTGTTATTACAATTTGTGACTTAAAATATCGTTTTGTTTATAATTATTTTTATCATTTATTGAGTGCAACAATAGCGCGCACATTTTTGCTATATACATTCTGTGTAATACATAGTAGGCAATACAAAAGGACTTAATAAGTAAGACTTATCTAATAAGCATTATTTTTTTAAGCAGACATATACAGGGTGTTCCAGGAGGAAAGATCAATATTCTGGGAGGTGATCGTATCGGTCATTTTAAGCAAAAATGTTCATATGAATATATGTCCTATTCCCCACGGTTTCCGAGATAGAGCGACTTGAATGT